TATAAATTACATATATCTCAATACCAAGAGATATATCCATCCAAGAGTCCTAATCTTTTTGGATTTCTATTTCCTTTATGAAACTTATCAATATCATTCTTAATCTTAATCCCACATAATATGATATTAATCTTAATCCCACATAATATGATATTTTCTAATGTGGGTGATTTTGGATACCACCAAATCCAACAATCTCCACCTTGATATCAAAAACACGTACTAACCATGTCAACATCCATTGTTTAGCTTCATAAAATCTTCATCTTTTGCTAAATAAATTTTTTCATCATTCTTATTGAAGAGCCCGGTTTGGGGTTATCGATATGGCGGTTAAGCTTTCGAATGTAAAGTTCGACGTGGAGAAATTTCTTGTTGTGCGCGGAAGCTCTAAACCTGATGGGTTGATTTTTAGGAAATAAAGTACGAGAAAAAAGAATTGACAAAAACAAGCAACAAGCAAGAAAAGTAAAGCAGGAAAGAAATAACAAAAAAAAAAATCAATGTTAATGTGGTTCATCATAGATGTGACTACATCCATGGGCGACGACAATCGATGTTTTTCACTAATCAATGAGAAAGAAAATTACAAGAGACTCATACCTGAGCGAACTAAAGAAGACACCCAATCTCCCACAATGCCTCTTTCTCTACTCTTTTCTCTCTCTACAAAACCCCCAAAAGTTTCCCTCTATTTTTCTGGAACTTTCTCTATAATACATTCTAATAAAGAGAGAAAAATAGACCAAAGAGCACCGCACGTGATGGCCCTTACTTTTTCCCATAAGCTCTCTCTCTACAAAAGTAACTTTATATGGAGAGAATGGAGCGCCCCAAAAGTGCTACGTAAGGCTCTCCCACTTTTCCTAATGTTTATCAAAAGGTAACTTTATCCCTATGCATGTGGACTCAAGACCCATCCTAATCTAAGTAGGACTTATCCACAAAATCAGATCTTACATAATAGGCATTATCTAAAAACTAGAAAACCCAAATTAAAAGGAAACCAATCCCATAAAATAGGCGTCAAGAATTCAAGACAATTATCAACATATGGCAAAGAGCTAAGTATATCATGCAAGGGCGAAGCATGTTGATGTCGGATACCATTTTATCCGTGAGACAAGATAATGCTCAATCACATGCAGATGGTTTAGTGGGTAGAGGGAGATCTGTTGAGAGAAGTGGAAAGAGACATGAAAAACAGGGTTGGTCCAGATCCAAATTCTGACCAGGAAAAAGTAATATGTATTGCAATTACTGCAAGAAAAAAGGGCATATTAAGAAAGATTGTTGGAAACTCAAAGAGAAAGAAAGATGAGCCTCTGAAGCAACCAATATAGTGGATGGAAGCTCGGTAAATGGAACAGGTAATGTGTTGTCAGTCTCGACAAATTGTGACTACTCTAAACCCTCGTGAGTTCTTGATTCAGGATGTTCTTATCATATGTGCCCTCATCGGGATTGGTTCACCACATACAAGAACAAGATTTGTTGATAATTGTCTTGAATTCTCGATCTCTATTTTATGGGATTGGTTTCTTTTTAATTTGAGTTTCTTAGTTTTTAGATAATTCCTATTATTTAGTATCTTATTTTATGAATAAGTCCTACTTAGATTAGGATGGGGCTTTGAGTCCACATGGATAGGGATAAAGTTATTTTTTGATAAAAATTAGGAAAAGTGGGAGAGCCTCATGTACTACTTTTAGGGGGGGCTTTGTTGTCTCTATCAAAAGTTACTTTTGTAGAGAGAAAAAGTTTATGGGAAAAAGTAGGGCCCATTACGTGGGGTGCTCTTTGGTCTATTTTTCTCTCTATATTGGAATTTATTGTAGAGAGAAAATTCCAGAAAAATAGAGGGAACTTTTGGGGGTTTTATAGAGAGAAAAGTATAGAGAAAGAGGAATATTGTGGGAGATTGAGTTTCTTCTTTAAATCTTTCAGGTACGAGTCTCTTGTAACTTTCTTTTTCATTGATTAGTGAAAAACATCGATCGTCCTCGCCCATGGATGTAGTCACATCTGTGACGAACCACGTTAATCTTGGTGTTCTTTTTTTGGCAAGGATGAAGCATGTTGATGCTTGATACCATTTTATCTGTGAGAACATAGCTGAAGGTAATATCTTGTTACTGAAGATTGACACCCAGAAGAATGATGCAGATATGTTAACAAAGCCGGTTCCATTACAAAAGTTCACGCTATGCTTGGACTTGACTAATGTGTTGCCAAGGTGAGCGCTTGTAGGGGAGCGTGTGGAGAAGACGGTCGATGGGAATCTCTTTTGGAATTCAAGCCAAAGTGGCGATTTGTTGATAATTGTCTTGAATTCTTGATCCCTATTTTATGGGATTGGTTTCCCTTTAACTTGGGTTTCCTAGCTTTTAGATAATTCCTATTATGTAGGATCTTGTTTTATAAATAAGTCCTACTTATATAAGGATGGGGCCTTTTGTCCATATGGATATGGATAAAGTTATCTTTTGATAAAGATAAGAAAAAGTGGGAGACCTCACGTACCACTTTTGGGGGGGCTTTATTCTCTCTTTATACAATTACTTTTGTAGAGATAGAAAGCTCATGGGAAAAAGTAGGGGCCATCACGTGGGGTGCTCTTTGGTCTATTTATCTCTCTATATTGGGATATATTGTAGAGAGAGTTCTAGAAAAATAGAGAGAAACTTTTGGGGGTTTTGTAGAGAGAGAAAAGTGTAGAGAAAGAGGCATTGTGAGAGATTGGGTTTCTTCTTTAGTTCTCTCAGGTATGAGTCTCTTGTAATTTTCTTTCTCATTGATTAGTGAAAAACATCGATCGTCTTCGCCCGTGGATGTAGTCACATATGTGACGAACCACGTTAATCTTGGTATTATTTTTTTCTGTTATTTCTTTCATGTTTTATTTTTCTTGCTTGTCGTTTATTTTTGTCAATTCTTTTTTCTCGTACTTTATTTACCAAAAATCAACCCGACGGGTTTAGAGCTTCTGCGCACAACACATTGTTCCAAAGGATTTACGAGAGATTGATGGCAGGTCTAGCGTAGCTGAAACCCATCTCTTCTAACATCTCCTTGAGGTAGGATCCACCGCGGTTGATGTGCTGGATCTCATCTTCATCCTCCTGGGGCTCCTTTGAGGTAGGATCTAAGAGTGAGTTCACCCCATCTCCTCAAGGTGGGTTCACCCCCTATACTGGACAAGCATATGGTGGGTTGGCTCAAGAAACGTAGTATCCTTATCGGCGAAAGGAGTCTCCTTTTTCATGATGAAAGTAATAATGTCTACAGTTTTTTATAACATTTACAATTTGATCCTTCTGTTGTGCTTATTTTTCATTTCATTTGGTCATCCAAGTCTTATAGAGAATGGACAAACATCCTTCAGATTTTCTGTCACTCAGATAAAAAAGTGTGTCCTTTTGCTTTTTTATGTGAAAGTTTTGAGCATTGATATTGAATGTAATGATTGTGAAATGTGTGGCTGCTGTCAAAACATAGTTATGTTTATTAAACAAAAAAAATTGACCGTCTGTTTTTTCTGGTCTGACTGTTGCTTCAGTCTGGTTATGCTGGTGATACTACGATCATAATTGGGGAAAATAAGATAGCAAATAATTGGGATAAAAAAGTTTTATATGATAATCAAAACGTTAAAATATGAGCTACTTAAATATCGAATAAGCAAGTTAGGGATACAGATTTGTAAATGAACTAAATAACTAATTGATGAGGAAATTTTTTGAAATATGAGAACCTTTTTTATTTTTCTGTCTTGAATGCCTACCACACTCTTTACTCAAAAAATATTTTTTTGGTGCAAAATAAAATTGGGAATGGCTCCTCCCAGATGGACATACCTTGTATATCTGAATCCGACAGTTTGTTGAGAACTATCCGATTTGATTGTATTGGTTGATCCATTAATTGGATGGGCCATTCTGATAATTGTTTTTTATTTTCATTTTTTTAGGACTGAAACTGTTCATTTTTTCTAGGTTGGACAGGAATTTTTTGTTCAAACTGATACCAGATTCTTATCTCTGGATCCAGTTTTGAAGATATTATTCTAAATTCTTGAAACATTTTCTGTCAATTCCTCTTTCTTTCTATTTTCAGAATTTATTTCTTTCATTTGAAGCTGGGGGCAGTTTCTTTTCACATTATTCCGAAAGAATCCATTTGTTCAGTGAGCTGGTTCCCGAGGTTCCAGAGGATTTTACTAGTAAATTTTTTATATTTTCATCTGTACTAGTAGCAATAAACTTCTGTCTAGTTACTGACTACACAACCTATTGTGCTGATTGTTGGCTGCCAAACTATGCCTGTTTCTGTATGGTGGTTGTAGATATGCAACCCACTCAGTGGTCATTAAATCATAGTATTTCTTCTTTAGCTAGCTATTTTGCTTTGAGATGGTGATCGGATATGTTCTGTGTTCTTTTGATTGAATGGTACTGTTGATTCCAATGGTTGTCATTCCTTGGAAGCAGTATGTGCTGGACGTTTCTGATGGGTTGCACTCTTCATTTGGTTTGATCTTCTTCCCGTTTGGATGATTTTTTATTTTTCAATTTTTGCTAGGATTTCAAATTCAGTGAGTATGCATTTAAGCATGATCTAGTGAACTCTATTAGGATTTGTTAAAACATTGCAAATAATGCTGGAGCAGAAATGCAGAATATTTCTATGGGACTTGTAAAGCTGTTTATATGCTTTGCACATGTTATTTATGCAGGTTATGTTGGATGCTTTAGGATTATACATGGTTATGTAGTTTCACTGTTCGTAATTTTAATCTATAGTGCAGTTATCTTCTGCTGCTTAATTATTAACATAATTAATCTATTTGTCTCATAATCTACATGAGAATGCTCTTGTGTGTTACTAATTTCTTCTTAGAGCCTTCTCGTTCTTTATTGTTCTTACTTGATTGGAGGATTTTCCAATGTTCTGCTTTAGCTATCTTGATGCTGATATATCTTTGGGGTTAATTCTTTCAGGGACATGAGCTTGTAATGCATGTACTTTACCATCTTCATTCAGTTATGATATCTGAAGAGGGAACTGATTTCTCTTTTGATGACTCAGTTTACGAAAAGTTTCTCTTGATTGTGGTGGGTCTCATGTTACCCAAAATGCATCAGGCTTAATTTCTTCAACTGCCCTTGCTTTGATTCTAGGTTTCGTTTCTTTCTTTTTTTTTGGTTGAAACTGTTAATTCTAGGTTTCTTTTCTTTAATAGGCAAAGGCTTTACGTGATTCCTTGCCAGCATCAGATAAATCCCTCAGTCGATTACTTGGTGAAGTACCGCTTTTGCCTGCCTCTGCTTTGAAACTGTTAGAGAATCTTTGCCAACCAGATGCATCTGACCACCAAGGAAATGAATTGCGCAATGGCGACCGGGTCACTCAAGGCCTTGGTGCTGTATGGAGCTTGATTTTGGGGCGCCCACTTGTTCGGCAAGTGTGCCTGGATATCGCCCTGAAGGTACAGGGTGTTGCAAAGCGTACTTGTAGACATCTTTAATATATGAAGCATGATGTCCTATGCTCTATCAGTTCTGTTTCTTGTGCACATAGAGGGCGGGTTTTTGGAGTTTTCTATTTCTTTTTATATCTTTAGAGCTATTGTCTTGTAGGCTGTTTCTAATAAACAGTTTGTATGGCTTATGATGAAACAATCCCAGTATTGTATGTCTTTGTTCAGGTAACAATAGATAATAAAAGTTAAGTATATTCATGGGATTGCCATATAACCTATAAAATGTGTTCTAGAATATAAGTAAAACTACATTCGACCTGCAAGGTCAATTTTCACCAAAAAGGGGCAACTTTCTTTTCATTCCTTGTATTCAGTAACAAAAGATTTTAATAGTTATTTTAAAAAATCTGAAAGCAACCCTTTCTCAAAAAAATAATAATATGAAAGCAACCCAAATGGAGTGCACCAAGAGAGATTCTGAGATGGCATATGAATAACCCTCAAAATCCAACTCGATTGAGATTTTAAAACTAACCCATTAGCTAATGCATCTGTGTCGTCATTAACAGTGTTAAAGAACATCATGAAAAGACAGGAATCAGGCTTGGGTCACGACGGTAGCAGCTGGGTTTTCATAGCGCTGTCTCAAGTTCCATTGCTATGTAACCTTGTCCAAAAAAAAAAACATCATGAAAAGACACGAGTAATGTCTTCATTCTCAGCATGTATTATCCTTCTCCCTTCCCGACCAAGGCAGAGTACACAACACTGCAGCCCACCTGATCAAATTCATACCATCACCTTCAACAATAAGCAGGCGCTCTGCCTTCCTCAGATTGAGCTTAAAACATATTAGCTCCCATTTCTGCATAGGAAGAATAACATACATCTATAGCCTGGAGGAAGACTTTAAAGTGCTCCCCCCTCAGTGGACCCCAATTCCCTCACCCCTGGATTGCCCTTTCTCCCGTTAAAATTTGAGTTCACCACCCTTTTCCTGGAGGATCCATCTATGACATGGCTTGCCCAATGTTGCATCAGAGCAAGCCACTGTACTGCATATAAAGTTTTGTTGTTTTATGTTGGAGTGTATTCTTTTTCTTGGAATTCCCACTTTTGGTTTATGACCGTTTTAATTGATGAAAAGAAGAGTTCTAAACATATGCACAAATCCTTATGGTATTTATTTTTCCATTAGCTATGAACTGGTTATGTTATATGTCATGTTTTTTCTTCAAGTATTAGTTTTTCCTTTTCATCCTGGTGATGACTAAGGTTGGCTTCTGGTGGCAGTGTGCGGTGCACTCACAAGATGATGTGAGAGCCAAGGCTATTCGTTTGGTATGCAACTATTGATAAGCAATGGAGACTCATTTTCGTCAAGCATTTTATGGTTTTAAACTTCCTCACTAGTGATTCAAGATTATTTATTGGATGTGCATGGGAATTCTCATATCACATGAAGGATTTTGAACATCTACTATCTGCCCATTGTTCTCTGTTTGGACAGGTGGCAAACAAACTCTATCACCTGAGCTACGTATCTGATAATATTGAGCACTTTGCTACAAATATGTTGTTCTCTGTTGTTGACGGTGAGCCAGTGGCAGATGGTAAAAGCACATATTTGGACCCCAATGAACAAAGATTGCAAACAGAGGTATGTTTCCTTCCCTATGAAGTCTTAAAGTTTGTATCATTTCTATGGAGGTGGATGAACGTTCCTTCTCGCGTTGTTGGTTAAGGTTTCAAGTGTTATTAGCATTATTTTGGAGGAAGCATGCTTTATTTAGTTCAGAATGTTCCTAGAGCTATCTGTTTTACTTCTTAAACCGGTCATACTTTACTATTGACAATCAGACATTTTTTTTGACAGTGCTTTGTATTTAATTTTCTATCATTGTTCCCATTTCCTGCTGCTTTACCATTTGATCTTTTTATGAGACTTCAAGTTAACAACAGTGGGAAGCAAAAGATGCTTCCAATATGTTGTATGATCTACTAAATTAGGTGAATAGCTTATTCTCAAGTGGGTGGGAGGTGATAATTTTTTTGGTACCTCCTAGAAGGCTGAACATTCTGCTCCTTCTGGCATGGATCTTCTGATGTTTGCATATTTTGTTTGAGTCTAAATTGGTATATATGTTTAAATTCCTGTAGATTTGAGCTGGCATAGCTGCCAGGGGCATGGAACTTGTAATGCAGTTTTTTTTTTTTGGATGGGGATGGGAATATGGTATTCTGGGATTTGCTAATGGGGATGTCAAGGGAAAGAACATAGGATGGCTGGACTTTAGGCCTAGATCAAAACAGAGGAAATTCAGAAAATTTAGGTTTCTTGTGAGGCTTGGGGATCTCTAGTAGGTCCAATTTAAGAACGTCAATAATATCGTGGAGATTGATAGGGTGGTCTCTAGGAGGAATATTGCGGTCAAGTCAGTTTCGGTAGAACTTGTGAGCTGAAGTTCTACTCCAATTGGACCTCCATGGTGTCTTATTTTGTAGGAAGATCACATTTGCAAGACTTGGGCCATGTTACATTTTATAGTTAAACTCAGTTCATCAGATAATATACTTGTGTTAGTAAATAAAATGATAAAAAACTATTATTATCATGACAATTTGGAAACATACATTTTTAAGATAGGAAAAATCTGTCCACACTTGGTCGCAATCTGGGACATAGTGGCAACTGTAGTTTGGAAAGACTGGTGTATGGGTGTGATGTGCTTCTTTGGGAAATCGCTCAAAGATGTGGGTATACATGCTTGTGTGTACATGTTGTTCATCTTGGGGCTGCGATATGGAAATGTGCATGCTCATGCATACATCTTCTTCATCTTTTGGAGGACATGCAAGTACTCCTCTATTTGGAAAACCTACCATTTTAGTAATTTATCTATTCAAAAAGACTAGGAATTTAGCTAAGATTATTGGTATTCTGGCAATTATAGTACCCTGCTTACAGTCAGAATCAATGCGTGCTACTGAACTCTGAGTGTGGATGGCAAGCCATTATTTAAAACTTTCTGATTTATGGTCTTTGACGGTTAGCTCTTGATATATCAGTCCCTTCCAATGATGTTTCTTGTTATGATTGGAAATTTCAATCTGTGGTTGGACTATTTTGGTGACTTTTAATAATATCTCTATTAATTTTGCTTTCTTCTGGTCGAGAAACAGGAGACCTCTGCTAGTGGGTCACAGAGTTCGGCTCCTGATATCCTTGATTGTGTTGAAAAGGTTGCAAGAAATGTCCCAGTTGTTTCCTTGTCTCAAGCTCAATGCTGCATGTCGTTGTTCTTTGCTTTATGTACTAAGGTTCGTACTTAGAGCAGGTTCATAATTACAGGTAGAGTACTTCAGTGAGTTACAAAATGAGTTTGTATCTTTTGATCTGGTTTTAATGTGGTTGTCATTTTCTTTTAGAAACCCAGTCTTCTTCAACTGGTATTTGATATTTATGGACGTGCACCTAAGGCAGTCAAGCAGGTTTGATATTTCTAGTTAGCTTTATATGTCATTTTTTTTTTAAATCCAGTCAATAGGGTGTCCTGCCTCATTATTTAGCTGGCCTATGAACAGTTTTACCAACTAATGTCATTAACTCTTAAGAATTCTGATGATGCAGGCAGCACATCGGCACATTCCTATCCTTTTAAGGACCCTTGGGCCATCCTATTCAGAATTGCTTCATATTATATCTAACCCACCTCCAGGAAGCGAAAATCTTTTAATGCTGGTATTATTTGCTTTTTGTTTCTTGCCATTCAGGTTGAACTTCCATTATCTTCATAACTACTATATGTTTATGTGGAGTTTGTGCTGTATTACTGCTAGGTATTGCAAATTTTGACTGAAGAAATGACGCCTTCTCCTGATCTGATTGCTACTGTTAAGCATTTATATGCGACTAAACTGAAGGTATTCTCTCATTTTTACTGAGACATTTGGATGATATTATTGCTATCTCATACTTAGCAAGCCCCTTTTCTCATGTTGCAGGATGCAGCAGTCCTTATCCCATTGCTATCCTTACTATCAAAAGATGAGGTTCTTATCTGTACTGCTCTTTTTGCGATCCTTGTTTTGTAAATGTTCTGAGCATGATAATGCATGAGTAGGCAGGCCTCAGGATAGGACTTTCTTCATTGGTAATAGTTGAATATTACTGGCTGGAACATTAGTTCTTCAAATTTTTGTGATTCATATCTAATGTCTATTCTGTTTGTTCTGTAATTTTGGCAGAACTTGAAAGGCATTGAGAACAATTATGGCTAAATTTTTTTGTGGTACTTCCGGTGCCAACTGAATTTGTAACTGTTTATTGTTTGACAGTCTTCCTTTTCTTTAAAGGGATTTCTAGCATCATTAGCAGATGTGGCTGCATAATGCGTTATGCAGCTGCATCAAAGTGGTGCGGCCAGCATTGTTTTCAGATGCGGCTGCATAATGCATTATGCAGCTACATCAAAGCAATCAGACCTGGGCCGTACCAAAGCGGCCCGCCTAGGTGGCCATGCAAGATGCACCCACCTAGGTGGCACAAAGCCCACATATGCAGCCGTGACAAGGGTTTTTTTTAAGATGACGCCATCCTACAAGAAAAGAGTGGGAATGACTCTTTTTGGGGCCAAAAATGTCCGCGAAAAATCGAGTTTTTAACTGTATGGACAAAAGTGTTGCTTTAATCTCACTAAATATACAAAACCCGCTAGATTTGGGGAGGCGTCAAAATCTCCAGTCTAAGGTATACCTTCATTTTTGGGCATATGACCATCTACCCCGTTTTTTTTTAGTTATTTTGTCGGAGCAAAAGTAAAATAGTTTGGTCATTAGTGTGATGATATTTTATTATTTTCATTATACAATTCAATTTGTAACATATTGGATGAAGCCAATAGGGGAAGTGAAAGATTGTGAATTATTGAATAGGTTTTCTTTATTTGGGATTTCATGAGTGAGACGCTTATTTAAATTCTTCCCAAATAACTGTACAACAGTTAATGTAAAAATAAATTTATTTTTTTAATTATGTACCTTTTATGCTGCCTAAAATACCCATTATTTAAAAATCATGGACTCTCTCTCTCATGTTAGAGCCATGTTGACCACCTTGCACCTGTTCACTAGTTTTACAATAGGAGCATCGACCATGGCAGGCAAAGACCCAAATGTTCTCTCTTCTAGAGGGGCTTGTAGGACCAATACTAGCCAATCGAATTTATTAAAGGCCTGAGCTTGATGGGCTTTTGAAATTGGGCCATCCCAGACAAACCAATGAATGGCCAAGCCCATTCCCATACCAAGGCTCGTCAATTTGTCTTAGATCGATGGATGAATGAATTAGATTATTTGATTTTAATTATATTAGACCATGGAGTTAGAAAATGTTGCTGTTACTCTCTTACAGTGACTCAGACAACCATATACATTAGGGACAAATATTAAATTGAAATGCCTACTATAACATAAATCACATGTTCATTTTATTCTTTGTATCAAGTTGAATGACTTGATATTATTTGTATTCTCATAGTTTTTATCTTTTTTTAAATAAATTATATCTATTGTCCACCTCAGACATGATGTCAGGCACATAGCACATAGAACTCCCCTAGTGCCTCGCACCACATTCTGCATTTGATAGCCTTGATTTCTAGTTCCTAAACTCTTCATGTGCAGCTTCATATCTCAAGAGTTTCATCATCAAGTATTCTCACTCTTTTATGAGAATAGCAGTGAGAAACTTGAGACTATCTCTTCTGGGATGTGATGTTAATGCCCGTTGATTTTCATTTGGTTTTCTGAAACCAGGTTCTGCCTATATTTCCTCGACTTGTCGATCTTCCACTGGAGAAGTTCCAGATTGCTCTTGCTCGAATTCTTCAGGTACTACATGACTTGTTCGCCTATCAAAACAGCTCCTCCATTCGGTACTCTTTCTTATTGTGTTTCACTCTAACAAGTAATGCTCGTGGCTTGGCCTTCTCGTGTTTACTATTTTGGCTTGTGTGCGTGATTGCCAATGAATGTTGCTATTGTTGTCTCTTGAGAATATGGAACAAGCATTATAAAAAATCATCAGAATATGAAGCATTGGAGCAAACTACTGGCTGATCACAAGATTTATTTCCACGTTAAATGCATTGTTCTTGTTTAGTTGGTGAGTATCGTTAAACTTTCCAGTTACACTTTGGGGATGAGATAGAGCTATTGTTGTTATATAATTGAAAAAGCACATCTTGAAAATTTTCAGAGGTTGCAGTTGTAATTATAACTTAATTTTATTCTTCTATATAATTGCCAGAAAAAAAGGTTTTTGTGGAAATGTGGTTTGAAAATGCTCTAGCTTAATTGCAGAACTGTTACACAGTGTGATTTAGTGAATTATTTATGGGTCAAGAATTTAGCAGTTACTAAAGTATGTTAGCTCTTGTATATAATGAAATATTGGTTCCTTCTGAGTCCATTTACCTGGAATGCTAATGTTATCATAAGGTATTCTTCAATAGTATGATAGTGTTTGGATTGAAATTACTCAAAATGGGATATGTTTGTTTTATGCTTGTTTCTCACCTAGTCTAGGGTAAAGATTTGCCTCTAATTTTAATACTTCGATTTCGAGTTTTTATCTGTTGTTTTGATGTGAGTTTTTATCATGTGTGATGCTTGCTATGGCTCTCTTTGATGTGTACATAAACTTTTAGTTGTGGGCAATTTAGTGAAGAGGTTGCCAATGAAGATGATATTGATAATACTGAACAGTCACTAAATCAAGATTTACAAAAGGGCAATTTGACACATCTAAATTTATATGCAAGGAAATAAAATCCAGTTGTTTAGCTAGCCAAACTGTGGCTTCCATACTTAACTAAAGCATCTACCTGATTGGCCCCCCTAAAAAATGGTTCGTCCGTCTGTTCCCCATAAAGCTCAGCTAATAGAAACGATTAGCAAGAAAACTGGCACTAAACTCCTAATACACCCACCTAATATAATGGAATTAGATTCATTTAGAGATCTGCATTTCAACTCCATTGCCAAAGCTACACCCCTTGCTAATGCTGAAACTCAACATAATTATTCATGGATTATCCAATAGGAATTTCAAAAACGACCGTACATATACTATATTTTGTAGATTTTCATGTAAAGGTAAATTTTTTTTTAAAAGGTTATTAGAGTTGAAGGCATCAAACGAGTAGGGGAATTTGAAGAACAACAAGATTTTCAAGCCAAACACAAGCAATAACCTGGAGAAACCTAGGGTTTCCTCCTCACCCCAAGCTAGGGTTCCAAGAGCCTAAGCTTTTCTTTCTCTTTCAATTTCTAAAGTCACATGGAATGACCCCTTCAAGGCCCCACATAGCTCTTACATATTATAATTAATGTTCAAAGACATTAGATATTTGTATAATACTATTCACAGGGGTAAAATTTTCATTACAAATTTTATATTTAAGTTAGGCGCTTACCGACGCTTTCTTATTAACGTCTTACAATTCGACCCAAAAACTCCTAACTTAAATTCAAAATTTGTAATGGAAATTTTACCCCTGTGAATAGTAACACATGAACAGTACCTAGAATAGAAACATCGTAAATAAAAACTTATAAAAAAACCTTAGAATCCCTAAAGAACTTGAAAATCCTAAAACTAAATTAAAATATACATCCTTTGAAATTAAATAAATATTAAAAACAAGAATAAATTTTTCCCTCCATTATTCTCCCCTAATTGCAAAAAACTCATCTTCGAGTTTTGAAGTGTTTACGATGAATTTAGCATCAAAACCATCTTCTTTTTTGTTGGTTTAAGTATTATTTGTGCTAAGGAGAAATACCCAAGAAACAGATATTGGTATTGTATAGTAAGGAATCGAAACAAACATGTCAAATTTGGCTATCCTTGAACTCGCATTGAAAATTGTGTCGAAAACTTCAAATGCAAGTTTTTAACCTTCAGAGGCTTTTTCGATATCTATTTCATTACTCTCTGGAACTGGGGCTATAATTTACAGTTTATACCACACTTATGCTTCGGTATTTTGATTCCAATGCCTTAAATATCTTGAATGTTCCACCTCTTTGAAATCCTTGAGATCTTCAGAGGCCATGATTTTGATCAATCTCTCTGTCGCCATTTCTCCATATTCTTCACGAGCAAGATCATCTTCGGAGAGATCTTCAACTTCATCTTGATCCTTATTATAGATCGGAGCTCCTAAGAGATCTTGTTGTTCATTTGAGTATATATCGAAGATTTGTGGCAGATCCCAATATACAATTTGTTGAATTTTGATACAACCTGTGGCAAAATCAAGAATGTCCTCCTTCAAATTGAAAACCCTAGAGTTGTGTCCCACATGTCTAGGTCTTCTATCACTTTCCTCTTCACTCGACTGTTCACGTGGAGCACGGAGGTGAAAATGGTGGTACTCGACTGTTCACGTGGAGCACGGAGGTGAAAATGGTGGTACTCGACATCTTCTTACGTAGATCACCATCTTACTCATGAATGATACTCGCAATCTGCTGTGTTAGCTGTTGAACTTGCCTGCTCCTCAATTTCTTCATCTCTGGGATCACAAAGTGGATTTATAAAAATCCCCCTTCCACGGGTTCTTCTTGTTACCATGGATTCGCCAAAATCACAAATTCTTGGCAGATAATCAGCAAAACTTGCTGAAAATAGGAAGATCTAGGATGATTTGACCAAACTTGGCCCAACATAAAAAAACCCTAGGCTCGGCTGTAGTTTCTCGGTTTTGTTGTTGAAAAAGCCTAGGCTCTGATACGAAATTGGTATAGGGAAATTTAAAGACCAGCAAGAACAACAATGTTTTCAAGTCAAACCCAAGCAATAACTTGGAGAAATGTAGGATTTCCAAGCTAGGGCTCCAAAAGCCTGAGCTTGTCTTTCGCTTTCAATTTTAAAAATCATGTGGAATAACCCACTCAAGGCCCCACATACCTATTGTACATTATAATTTGATGTTCAAAGACATTAAATGTCAATAGAATAATTAAAATAATTCCCAAAATCCTAATTGAAACACAATTCGTAATGACAAGTCTTATGAACATAGTGCCTATGAATAGTAACAATGAATAGTACATAAAAAGTTATAAATCCCTAAAAAACTTAAAAACCAAAAAAAAACCCTCAAACTAAATCAAAATATACATACTTTGAAATTAAACAACAAAATAAATATAATTTTGCCCCTCCAATTACTGACCATGCAGATATGGTGCCACTCAATAACTCCCTTTTGGGGTCATTTTCCTTACCCCAATAACCCACCCTTGTTTAACAAACTGATTCACAAACTGATGTCTTGTCTAATGAAAAAAAATTGAAAACAATTCACAAAATATTCCCTGAATCTCTAAGGATTATCCACATTATTGAGCCATCTGAATCTACCCTGGATTCATATGCATGTGTGAATTCCTAGTTATGAAACTTCAGTTTTTTGCCTTGGTGCATTCACATTGCTGTCACTATTTCCTTGATGGCTTAGCTGTGTTATTCAAGCCATAGGCTTTTAGTAATTTTATGAAATTTACGCAGTATTATTGTATTGTATTCTTGCAGGGCTCGGCTCATACAGGTCCAGCATTAACGCCTGCCGAAGTGATTATTGCCCTCCATGGGATTGATCCTGAGAAAGATGGGATTGCACTTAAGAAGGCTTGCACACTACAAACTCTAGGATTTCATTTAGTCGCCTAACTTTTAATTTATTTGTGGAGTAAATGGCACTTCTTATTTGCAGATAACAGAAGCTTGTTCTGCTTGTTTTGAGCAACGGACTGTTTTCACTCAAAATGTCTTAGCAAAAGCTCTGAAACAAATGGTATGCATGTTCGAATGTATTTCTTTGATCCTATAGTAATGTGGATTTTCAGGCATTTTATAAAGATTTAAAAACTTATTGCTGGTTTCCCAGGTTGAACAAACCCCTCTACCTTTGCTTTTCATGAGAACTGTTATTCAAGCTATAGGCACCTTTCCAGCTCTGGTAAGATGCTTTGTTATTTATATAAATGGACAAAGCTGCTTATATTCAATCTTTTATTGATAATTACTCACTTATTTCATTTGCATGGCGGTTGCGTTACATCAACATTAATGGGTATCAAGATAGAGTAATGTTTCATGATAATGAATGACCAATATCTAGCCAAAAATATAAACGGAAATTAGCTTAGTCAAAAAGAACGAAAAGACTAATGTTTTAAACCAGAAGGTGGTCGGGAGGTATTGTCTAGACCAGGGAAATGGTGAAGGAAATTTAATATTGCAATCATGTTCTTGCCTCACCCTCCTGATGATTGCCGGAATTCTTCCCAGATATTTTTTTTTTTTGAGAGAGAATGTTCACATATGTATTAAATGGGATGGAAGATACAAAAGGAGTGGCAGCCCAGAGTCAGGGCCCACTGTACATGAAAGAAGTGGCTATGTGGAATTCAAGAGAATAAAACAGAAAAAATTCCCTTTTCTTTTCATTAATAAATCTAAATTCCACTTACGAGTGCCACAATACACAGCTTTAAATGAAAAACAAAATTCTAAATACAACCTAGGATCTTTTATTTTACTACGAAATTGAATAGACAATCCAAGAATGAAAAACAAACTTCCACTAACAAATTAATGCAAATAATGTTCCTGGAAATCCAAGAAAATATTCAAATATGACTGAAATATAAAGCAAACAGCCAGGAAGACTAATTCGAATTGCTGAGGGTCACCCCCATAGGACTTAGAACACCCACACTCGATTTCTTAATGGGTGATGCACTCTTATCCTATTTGCCTTGCTGAATTTTCTGTGTAGGGAAGCTTCCTTAGGCAATACCTCAGAAACTGGGGTTTTAGAGAGCATAAGCACAATTAGCATTTCTAGACCCCTTTATAAACCCGTGAGGCATGCCACTTTGCAGCACCTCCCTTTAAAACTAATTAGGGTTGGGGCTACGTCCCTCTTTAAACCTAACTAGAGTTGGGCTTGCAACCCCTTAAGCCATATGGGGTAGCGTGCAACCTATATATATATATATATATATATATAGAGAGAGAGAGAGAGAGAGAGAGAGAGAGATAGATATATATATATATAGAGAGAGAGATATATATATATATAGTAGAGAGAGAGAGAGAGTAGAGAGAGAG